AGTTCGGTATGAACAAGCCTATAGAAATTCTATTGCGACAGCCATGAACAGCGACAGGATGCTGTTGTGAATCCCTGTGTCGTGCTGCATGATCAGCCCTTGCGTCCACACATTGTTTTTAATAGGCTTTCACCTTGATACCTGCAAAAATCTGCACAGCTAACAGACCTTCCATAATCATTATACCATAACCTACTTTCAAAACTATTTATGCATACACCCGCACATATATATATATATATACACATAGACAGCAGTGAATATATGTATTATTTATATATATCATATATATAGCATAACATACACACATACATATATGCCTTCAAGAAGCAGCACAGTTACGTTCACATGATTTTCTTCCAAAAAGAGATTGACCTCATACCTACTATTTCAAAACAAACGGCCTTTCGCTCTCGTTGCCAGAAGCATGCGTATATTGTACATAGCTACAGTTTCGTTGGCCGCGCGAACGGCGCGCACCGCGTTCCTCACGACTGTGACTGTAGCAACATCGTGTCCACATCTTGCGCTCGGAGACGTCCCTTATATCAATTTCTGTCGGGCGTGTTTGTCTTCTTCCTCTTCCTTGCGCTTGAACAGCAACACCTTGTCTCAACGTAGGAGGCTCGAACGTCCGGACCAGGGCAGCGATCGCGCGCCTGTATGGGAGTAGACCAGGTTCTGTCGGGGTCGATCACATTCAGTTCTCCGTTCTCGTTGAGGTCTCCATCACCTGTAGCAAGCGATGAGAAGGTTAAGGTTATCGCGACACGAGCGTGCACACAATTCATACCCTCCGACTATGTCCCCCATTCTCTCTCCTCTCTCTCTTCTCTGCTCTCTCTTTCTCGCTCTATGCCTCTCAGCGGACACAGCACCGCTCTCCGCTCTCTGTGTCTCTTGCCTCGCTTTCTCAGCCACTTCTTGCAAAGAAGTTGAAGTTGTTACACGTTACCGTAACACTCGTGGCAATCTACCCACGTCATTATCTCTTCAGCCTACTCTCATTCTCGCAACAGGGTCAAGTAGTGCGAACATCTTATATTTCCAAATGCACGTTAAGCTCGGTTCTACTCTGAGCGCTGGGAGCCTTCAAACACCTGGTAGTGACTACAGTAACCGTTTACCTGTACCCGCTAGGACTTAACATGTTTGGCAGACCGTAACTAGCGTACACTATAAGCATACGATGTAGTAGGAAAAACAGCATGCGTTTAGTAAGTAGCAGCACGTACCCTGGTACACTGCCGACAAGGCCGGTCAGCTTTGGAGCCAGGGCCAGATTACCAGCAGCAATGGATTATAGTCCGTGGATCTGCATCTCTCTCTGCCTATTGGACAACCTCTGATTCTGGAGAAACAAACCCACAAAGTACTAATCTCACCTCATTAATAAACACAATTACACTAGCTGAGACCGTAATAGGTCGAATTCGTCGTTGTCCAAAGGCAGGATATCCTGTGATATCCGATCGCAAAGCGAGAGATTTAAAGACATGTAAGGTCTGTCACAGTGCCCGGCAACCTGTCAGAAAAGCCTAACAATACTTCTGGCATGAGATACAAACACATACACGAAAGTGAAAATATTGTCACGACAACACTCAACAGAGCGGGCAGAGCGTCTTATCGGTCTCCATCTGATGGTCCCTCAGTTGCACTACGGTTATAAACGTGAACATTTCAGTCGTGCGTAGTGACACCTTTGTTAGGCCGCAGATATGCAGATAAACGGCAGTGTGCGTACACATCGAAATTCGAGGCAACCTTCTGCATTCTGCATACCTCCAAATCCATTGGTTGATACAATCGCGTGCATGAAACTGCTGTTTTATTATGTGGCATTGTGACCCTAACCCTAACCCTATTTTTTTTTTTATTAATTAATTGTTGTAAAAATTATTGCCAGTTAATTAAATTGTTGTTAATAATCGTGTCCAATATTTGCATTAATGACAAAAAATGTTAAATGGATAAAGATAGAAAAATACAGAAAAAGCAGGTAAATATTAAAAAATCTAATGGGATTAGCGATCCACACGCCCTTTGAGCCGTGACGCCTGTGCTGTACCCGTTCGTGCTACCTCAAGGCTTATTGCTTTTGGATTATGGTTGTGCCATGAATATGAGAAACACTGCATCGATTGAGGCAGTTCAGGAATCCATGTTTAACACCTCTCTTGAGGTCCACAAGGTTTATCAGACACTTACTCTCGCACGTCAGTGGAACAGCAACATTCATGGTCCTTTCAATAAAGTGAATAAAAAATGGTAGGTCCAGCGGCTGAAAAAAATTTTTCAGCTCCTGTCCATTAGCCATGGTCCCATCAGAAAATGTCTGATATCTGACATTTCCCCATGAGGCCCTTTGACCTTCCATTTCCGCACTGGTGATGGTTTGCCTGCCCATCAACACTAAATACCCCACCGGGAATATATAAGAAGACAATATGGTTGAGGCCGTTAACAATTTGTGGCCGCCATTCGCGTATTTACCTCCTATACTTCCAAGTTAAGGGGGAAATATTCGCCCTCCGTTTTGACCAGCATCTTCTGACCCCTTTGACCGGCCAAATTTGATCAGTCACCGAAGTCCTTTCACGATTTCTCTACCCGTAGCCTCGAGAAATTAAGATACGGCTACCGTACCCGTAGCTACTGCCAATGAATAATTCTCAAGTTATATCAGCTACTAAAATTTAACCATCAACCATCGTTGAAATGGTCTGCTTGCGGTATTTCTTGTGAACGAACATTCGATTTACGAACTTCAAACGGCCATTTTTGGTGGCGCTGCAGCAGCGCCAGTCAGCGGGTTGGTCCCTAGCTTTTGGAATAGAATGTTCTATAGCCCTGCGGGAACTGTAAGCGGGCTATAGTACTAGAGCTAGGACTCGTATAACTTGAGACATATTAACATCGGATAAGAGGCATTAATTGCCTACCACAGACGTTTTATAGCTGCGAGTAACCGTGAATAAGTTGGTCCCTAGCATTCGTAATAGAATGTTATATAGCCTTGCGGCAACTGTACGCGGGCTATATTAATAGAGCCAACACTGTCACTGACTCTGTGTCATTGTGACTGACACTGGATCTGGATAGTTTTCTGCGTAGCCCACGGTTACGTGGATAATAACGCAGGGATAGCTATAGGGAACGCTATAGCTAGCCATGGGGTGTGACCTAACTTGGGTAAAGCCAGGTAGTTAGCCTTTAGCCGAATGGCACTGAGGGTGGTCACAGCCAGAGTTTTTTTTGCGCCTTCAGTGGTTCTTTTACGTCCCGATGTGCGGGGGTACCCCACGACGTTTCCGTCGACACTGACACTGGTTCAATGATATAAGACTGTAAGAGCTGTCCACAATGGATTTTCGCTAATGTGTGACATGTGCAAATGTTGACAACTCTTATATCCTTGGGCCCTGACACTGAAACAGTGACAATAGACGTCAGTCGTCAGTCTGTCGTCAGTCTCCAATCCGCGCATCGTCACGTGTGTTGACGTTACTTCATACTTGTGTTAGTCTCGCGGCTTAGTTGGGCATGTAGCGTTGCCGTCTTTATTTATCTTGCCAAAGCGTTCGACATTCTTGGATCTTTTAACTCTCTTCACGCCGGTTCAGGTCCCCCTGTTGTTTTAGGGATAGTAGGTTGACTGTTTTAGTGTGTATCATTATACAATAATTTGTCATAATCATCATACCCCTAACCCATAGACTAATAAATTGTCGTCTAGAAATTCGTGTAATCGGACGCTATCGCTACTGTAGGGCCCAATAGCCTTCCATTGACAAAAGTGGCTAATTTTTGTGTGACAAATTTTACACTGTTCCTCACCATGTACCATGACTGAAATTCAAACAAACGTCTACATACCTTACTTTATTAACATCTTACCTACACCACTTGCAATACATTATCCGCCTTTATCCTACATAATTACCATGACGTACAATTTTCAAACTTCGTCTGCACAGAGATTATAGATAATTTACAAAAATTTACTAAAATTACGCATCAATTTGCTCTTATGTGAGGCAATTGTATTTGCAGTTACATACTGTCAATAGAAAATGAGCAAGATCTTAGAGATTTTGTTCTGGAAATACTGGGCAATTCACAGCAAGGTGAACACACAGAAGCTGACACTCAGACATTCGTAACTGAGTTGCTGCTTAGACAGAGGTCACGTGATACTGCTGACAGCCTTCCAACAGATCTACAGGTGATTCACGATGATGAGTATACAGATTATATCAACTTGTGTTTTGTCAATTTATTTCGACCGATCAGTAGTTGGATAGGAACCTAACATCACTTTCGTTAGAGGTCTCGTTTGTCTTATAAATCTCAGAATAATGTTTTAATTCACGATCAATGTGGTTAACTTGAGTTGTGACACAAACACTGAAATGATCGGTAACAGATACCAGGTAGTGTTTAAATGCAGTCTATCTTGTTATTGTTGTATACAGCTTTACAAAAAATCTGTAGTTGATGATGATTACATACAAGGAAAGCAGCAAGATAAAAGAAACAGGAAAAAACAAGATAAAGCTATAGCAGAGGTAAAAGTTCATTTCTATCAATTTTTTCTTTGATGCTTTATCTTTAAAATAATTAAATGTTAAATTGAAAACACATGATGAAGAAGTGTGTGAACTGAAAAAAAAACACCATTTATAATAAGTTCAAAACCTTAAATATGAACATAACATATATTGTTGCTTCTTGTTTTTGTTGCTTGAGTTTTGATTTAAATCGTTGATAAAAACTGAACAGCAGACATAATATTATATCAGGAGAAAAAGCGAAAAAGAGGATTAATTTATATCAAAATCTATTGTTATTCACTCCTGATTATATGTTAACTGCATCTAAAACTGATACTTCTATATCGCTGTATGTACTATGATGTAATCGAGTTATTGGTCTGAATGTATCAGATAGAAAACGTTTAAATAACTGAAGGTGCGTCTTTAAAGGTCTCACTCCAGTTTCATCTCTGATTCTGTCTGTTGTTTCAATCACAGGATAGTCATGTTCAGCGCGCATCTCCACTGGACGAACCCAAGAAAAAGAGCAAGTTTGTGTCACTGTATAGCAGTGAGGGTGAATCGGCTAGTGTTGTACAGCTGCCAGGAAGACACCGGTGCGACTGCCAGGCTGCCAAGCACAGACTGATCAGCAACTGCATGAGCTGTGGCCGCATCGTGTGTGAGCAGGAAGGCTCCGGGCCATGCCTGTTCTGCCAGACGCTGGTAAAAATATTGTAGCATGAACGTATCTACTTATTTCCCAATATATGTAGTATATATATATGTAGTATAGATATGTATATGCTAGTTGTGATGAAGTAGTAACTGTAATATAGACAGTCACTTATTATGCATGAAATAATCATATATGTCCAATATTGCTCGTTATGTGAAGTATTCCACCGATGAATTTTCGGAGGGTTGAGAAAGTTAATCGTTAATGCCCCGTGTTATTCACATTACGATGCGAAATGTTTAGCAGCAATATTGTGAGGTGTGAGCGATTGGTACAAATAAATAATAGGTTTGCATTTATTATTAAATTTATGATTACAACAGGAAGTGCTGCAACACAAAAGTATTGTTTCTATTTCGCTTTCGACATATGAGATAATAAAGATGTCAAGCTAAGCAGTAGTGGAAAACAGTACTTACACTGCATGTGTAGAGAGCACTAGTAACTATCATTGATCACAGAGTTCTCGTGTTATCAGGTGTGTACCCGCGAGGAACAAGACGTTATCAATCGAAATTCAAAGAAAAGTGAAAAGTTGAGGAAGAAGCTGATGATGAACACAGCAGTACAGGATGAGAACAGACCCAGTGATGAGCACCTGAGTAAGGCACTGGCACATAAAGACAGGCTATTGGAATTTGACAAGACATGGTAGGAATAGAAAGCATATGCAGAACTATCTGCCACCTGTATTAATCATACAGCTATTTGTAGCTTTATTCAGACGGTTTACTGTGAGTGTTTAAATGTGATTGGATTGGTCATGCGTGTAGTGACATGTTTGCACCATATATGTTAGTTTCCTGTCTATAAATGAATGTTGTGCAATTGTTGCAATGTTGTCGTAGGAAATGGGATTGTTTGGACACAATGAAAGTTAAAATTAACTGACTGTGTGCCACTGGAATACACTGAAAAACACAGATTATAGATTTCCTTGCCATTAAACATTCATTGCCTTTTACTTTTATGTGGTATTAAACTTTCCACGAGCATGTTGCCATAAAATCATAATTCTAGTGCAGTCAGTTCTACCTTTCCACTTGTACGTAACAAAGTTAAACTAATTGAGAGATAAGGTAGTTTAATTTAAAGTTAATTTAAGCTAAACTAAAGCTAATTTTATTGTGCATCAAGCTGGTCATCGTTGCTTCTTGCAAGAGTCTTGCTTACATTCAAACTTTGTTCTATCAGCGTCAGTCGAACGAAAGTGATCGACGATCAGAGTGACTACTTTGCCGTGGACGGCAATCGCTGGCTCAGCAGCAAAGAACGCGAGACCTTGCGAAAAAAGGAAGCTGAGCTACGAGAGAAGAAGAATCCGTCGAGGAGAGGGATGAAGATCACGTTGGACATTGCCGGTGAGTGCTGCTGCTGTCGCGTGTAAATCGTTGCTGGTACCTAGAATGTTTGCTTCGCTCCGGTTCATCCGTAGTTATTGTCGGTGCAGGGAAGGGTGGCTATATGCCATGATGGCGACCGTGTCAGTGCCCCAGCGGTCATTTATTCTTACTGATGCACTAACCTGGGCACTGAGTTTTGTTCAGGCAAAATCATGTAACCTGACTAGGTTCAGTGAAATAAGGTTGAATCCATAGGGCCACCTCATGTTGAGTAGATGGTAATTTGATAGTGATAGCAAATAAATGACTTATTTCATTCTGGTCCAATTGGTCTTGCGTTGACTAGGGATTAGATTTGTAATTGATATGAAGTCTGACGGACATTCATTATCCAGTAAGAAATGTCTGCATATGTATGTGCGTGTATGCATTCATGTGAACATGTGTGCATGGATGGGTTGCCCTTTCCTCTGAGCTCTGCGCTGACCAGATTTCATTACTTACAGGTCGTAGAATAAAGGAGGAAGACCGCTATGATCTATCTGCGACAGAGGAGGTGCAGGATTGGGCAGATCGGGTGTCACATGGTCGGGTTGACCCCTCGGACGCCAGTCGCTCGCTGGGCTTCCCTGCCTCGAATTCTGATATGCTGCACCCCCTGGTGGACAATCCACCAAAGGTGAGGTGAATGTCGAATGTACGGATGCTGTCTGCGAGTGCATCCATCCATGTGCGCATGCTCACTTGTTATCTGTGTGTGAAGGTGTATGTCTGTGTGTCTTCTGCCTGTTGTGTGCGTGAGGAGAGATGGACGTAAAGATAGAGAGGGGACGGGTATGGGGGAGAGAAGATACAAGCAGGCAGGCAGAGGGCAGGTAGGCATGCCGGCAGGCAGACAGGCAGGCAGGCAGGGGGCAGGTAGGCAGGCAGGCAGGCAGGGGGCAGGTAGGCAGGCAGGCAGGCAGACAGACAATGAGGGGGAGAGGGAGGGGCAGTGGCATAGTCGAAACAAGAGAGCAGTGCTTGCATGTATGTCTATTGTGTCAGCATATTGTGAGAGAGTGCAGTGCATATCAGTATCTAGTGATAACAACACCACACTAACTCACTTATTATTATCTAATATTTCGTTGCCTTCCTATAATATATATTCAGCTGATTATTGACAATTTGATATTTTATTTAGTTCATTCCAACCGGATTAAAATCTGCAGCGAGTGATGTGGTGGGACACTCAGACAGCAAGCGTGCCGAGCTTCGCTTGCAAGACGGTGCTTTGCAGGAAATGTCAGATAAGGGGTGTTGCATGAGCATGCATCAGCCTTGGGCCTCCCTCCTCATCAAGGGCATAAAGAGGTGATGGCACTCGTGTTATATGCAGTTATATTACGTTAAAATGATGGCCTGGATTGATTATCAGACAACATTTATTCACAATGTTATAGACAGAATTTAGAAAAGTGCAGATTTCATATGTTATTATCAATAGCATGACAAGTCATTAGCAAGAATGAAAAAAATGGTTTTTATGTACTCCTAATATTGGTGAATACTTACTTGAGTTGATGCAAGGTAACTATACTTATATACTTTATACCTATACTTATATATAGCAATAATAATAACTTGCTTATAGAAATATGAATTCTGCCATTATGTAATTTTTAGCTCGCCTTGACATCGTCAAGATGAGCTATTGCCATGGTGTGTCGTCCGTCGTCCGTTCGCATCAAAACTTATGCATATATCATTATCAAGAGTATATAATGGGAGATATGTTATATAATGGGAGTTCTCCCATACATACTCTTGCTTTATATATCCCCCCTCCCTCTTCTATCACACCCAAGGTGAGCTACAGTGTCATTGACACTTTCATTAAATTTGGAATTATCTAGATTATCTTGGGTTCACTGATGACTTAACATACTGTTGAAATTTTCAGGAAAGGTTAAATTTGCCATTGAGCCAATTATTAACATCATTTCCTATCTCTCCGTGATGATAGAGATGAAGGACGAACATGGTACAGTGCCCACAGGGGACGCCTCTGGATTGCTGCGGGAGTGAAGGAACCATCACACGATGAGATCAAGTCAGTTGAGAGGGAATGCAGTGCGAATATAAACGGTAAGCAGCCGGTGAAACCTCTGAAAACACAAGACTAACCGTTATTTATCTAACCTTGAGACCTTGCCTTTCATCCAAGCATATGTCACTGCCTATACCTACCCTAACCAACAGATTGGGTTGGTTAGGAGGTAGGGAGAGGGTTGTGAGATGTCTGCACTGCAGCCAAGAGATGTCTCTTAGTTTTCGAGAACAGTCTGATTAATTTTGCTAGCTGTGCTCAAGAATTCAAAATTTGTATGTGAATCAGGTCTCAGATAAAATAACGCGCAGCCCGAACGACACGTGTCTGAAAAATTGGTGCATTCTCACGGTTCTTGACCTGCTTAGTCGATCACAAGTAAGTGCGCTCGTTTCAAACTGAACATCTTATCATTTTGCAGGCAACGTCATCTTTCCAGAGTACTATCCGACTAGTTGTCTGTTGGGTTGTGTGGACATTGATGATGTACTGCCTCAGGAACAGTACAGAGTACAGGTAGAGACACCTTAGAAGAAACCTTGTCACTAAATGCTTATACGTGTCCATCCTGTACTGTAGTATATCATGGTATCGTATATCGTATCGTCTGGTACTGGTATTATTAGGTGTTTTAAAGCAATGCGTCATGTGTACTCGGTCGCATGGGCAGCGGTGTGCTAATTTTGTGACGTGGTATGCCGTTTATAGTACAAAGACGGAGATTCGACGTCACCCTACGTGTTCGTGTGCAGGAATCCGCAAGAGCTGCTGTTCAAGTTTCCCATCAAAGGCCAACACAAGATTTGTAAGTTGACACATATTTATCTCCATTCTTGATCTGTGCGATTGAGTGATACTTATATCGATCACATGCTGTTTTTTCACATGTATTTTACGAAAAGTCACATTTAAGAGTTTCTTCCTGCATAAATTCATGTGACTGTTTTGTAACAAACCGTAATAAATCCCATATGAATAAGAAGTATTAAAGTGAAAAAACTGATAACAATCAGTAAGAACCTTTTGCGTGGTTTTGGGGCAATGGTGGTACACTGTTTACCTACAGTCATTGGTGATGTCATGTATAACTTAAACATGATTAAACTGTGGATAATTGTTAACCTTACATGAAAGGTCAGCTTTGAGCATATCAAACTCATGGATTTCGGTTTTCACTTCATGTGAACAGCCATGTTGCATGACCCACTCATACATGATATAACACTATGATATGTGTTGGTATTTTTTTATTTATATTTAGCTCGGTTTTTTTGAACGAATTTACAAACGTACGTTTATGCTTTTTATGTCAGATAAATTAGAATCGCACATCCACAAAGCTGCGACGAAATGTATGAATGCTGGCCAGTAGGTGGCGCTGTGATGTCTCGGATGCCAACCGTCCTGAGAAGCCGTTAGTATTTGAGTTTTTCGCGGAGAACGCTCGCTGTGACATAGCTCGTAATGGGAGGTTACGTAATAATAAGTGCTTAAATTCATAATACTTGCATCTGTGAGCTTCTGCTTCTAGTGTTAATAATGTAAATTCATGTTGTTCTGTGTTTGCCATAGTATGGACTGAGCTGTTAAAGCAAGTTTACATGGAATCATTCCTGTTTTAAATCTCTTTGCGACTCTGAGCTGCTAATGTGCATTGCCATTATAGATGTGATTCGTTTATCATGGGAAATATATTGATCTAATACAGAATTTATCTAGCTATTTCATTATGCATTGTGGCGCAAGTACACTTGCCAACGGGTCAATATGGCGGCCGCCGATTTCGAACCCCCCAACGGCCACTGCTCCTATTCAGCATACTGGCGCATTGTATACAGTTGTTAACCACCCCGACATACGCTATTAAGCTATGGGCAGTAGGAATGTGTACTAAAATTCTAGATACCTATAAACACATGTCTTAGCTATAATCCCTGTGAATTTCCAGTTTATTGAAGCACGATTAGTTTAATTAATTACCAAATATATGCACGCGGTATCGCTCACAGGCTTATATACGCACGGCTATGGGCAGTAGGAAAGTGTACGAACTCTAATATCTCGCGAACGAATTGAGTTACACTTCTAAAGTTCTAGATACATATAAACATATGTCTTAGCTATAATCTCTGTGAATTTCACCTGAAAAAGCAGCCAACTATACGCGTGTTACCCACGTCTGTGGCTGTGCACATCGTGGATGCGTACGTGCCTGCTGTTCTGTTTGTCTATCTCTGACTCAGTCTCGCTCTCTCCCTCCCTCCCTGCCTCTCCCTCTCTTTTCCACCCTCCCTCCCTCGCTCTCCCTCTCTCTCCCTCCCTTCCTACCTCTGCCTCTCCCTCTCTCTTTCTCTCTCTCTCCCTTTCTCTCTCCCCCTCTTTNTATATTTGATTATAACAACGTACAGATATCGAGCAAAACTCATGTAGGCCAACTTGGTTAGAATGAGGGTATAGTACTATAACTATAAGTAGCTTTCAAAATTTGGTTAATTTAGCTATGCCCACTTACCACAGACAGAGCTTTTCAGTAAGATGTTGGAAACCCCACTCGCTCAGTTTGTTGACAACGAACTCATCCATCAGCAACAGGTTCTAGACATGGTGGAAATTGTAGAAGAAAGTTATCGATTATAGGCCCTCTATACGGTATATACCACTACTGTACTCAGTACTGGCACTAGTGGGTAACACCCTATGCCGGTGTCACGGTCTGAGATTAGAAAAATTAAATTAAGAAGGCCCTTTTAAACAAAAACTTCAAAACGACGCGGTTTAGACCAGCTTTGACGTGCACCGAGACGACAATCATCTGACCATTTTTACTGGTTGTTTTAACAACCAATATATATTGGTACCCAATATCCAACCGATTAGTCACTTCCTAACCAATTTATTGGTTAATCTGACCAATATTGGCTTGACAAACAAGATTGGTTGGTAAAACAACCAATCTGTTTTTAGAGTGTAGTATAACATTTTTACACATTTTGATACATTGCGGCAGTTATAGATGCACATTGCGCCACATTCTTGCACATTCCACGCACATTCCTTTCCTGCACAATCCGCACACATTCCACGCACATTCCTTTCCTGCACAATCCGCACACATTCTTGCACATTCCGCGTGCATTCCTGCACATCCGCTGTTTAGTAGCACATTTCGCTGTTTAGTGGGACCCACCAAAATTCAATGATCTAATGTTTCAATGTCATAAATCTGTAGCAATTGTAAATGATGTTGACATGTTATGTTAGATGCTACTGTCTTGCATCCGTAAGTAGCATTGACGCTAACCCATAAAACGTATTTTGTAGTTAGTTATTAAAATTGTATAATATTACAGTAGGTTCCATACGTACACGCACTCGCGTACCCACGCACGCGCGCACGCCTGTACACACACGGTATAAATCTGCTGGTGTTTTCACAGAGAGGAGAAGGTAGGGCAGAGGAGAGAGAGGAAGGCAGAGAAGACAGAGGAAGGTAGAGAAGAGAGAGGAAGGTAGAGCGGATAGAGGAAGGCAGCGAGGCGAGAGAAGGCAGAGAGGAGATAGAAGAATGTAACGAGGAGAGCGAGGAATGCAGAGAGAAGGGAGAGAGAAGCACGGACGCGAACAAGTTTGGTTTAGAATTAATTAAATAACTCTAACCTAAATATCTTTTATTTAACTGCTATTGTTATTGGATATAGACTAAAACGAGCATTTATTATCTCGTAGCGCAGCCAGTTGTTCAACATATAAAGCGCGCATATATAAATGAATCACTTGGACTTTCGTCAGGCCGTGAGGGGCTTCTATCGCGAGATATATCACGGTCAGTATACACACGCTGTGAGAACTTGTATAAGGTGATCATATTAGAGAAGATGAGAGAGGGGAGAGAGAAAGAGAGACAGAGAGTGCGAGGTCGAGCGATCGACTAGTAGGATTGGGGAAAGCGTGAGAGGGGAGAGATAGATATTTTACACTTAAACAATTTAAAAATTAAAACAAACGTTGCGTGCTGTGTTCCAACATGAATATATTTTGTACACAAACTCGTGTAATCAGCTGTTCAACTTTTCTACCGTGCTGTTTCTACGTCTTCACGATTTTTCTATAGTGTTATATAAAAAATAAAAATTATTGTCTTTTTTTCAATGAAAAGTAAGTAAGGCATCACTTGCGAACATTTTGGGAAACTGTGTGAAACCGTGTCGTATTTAAAGAACTTTTTTTGTTAAGAAACATACGATTTTCAGGTAAGTTGGTGGTTGTCATATAATTAAGGCAGAATCTATAGACGAAAACATAGTACAAGTTGAATCTATCTTATCTCACTTATTGAATAGAACATTTACAAGCTTGAAAACTTTGCAAAAACGCTGTTAAAACTGTGTCTATACTCGTTCTCTCTTATGAGTCTTGAATATAATAAATATATTATATATATATATATGTACAATATATATTATATATATATATTATATACCATATTATTTACGTAAATATATATATATATATAATAAACAATGAAATAATGTAAATTTTTGATCAAATTTTCCGTTCCCCTTTTTGGTCTGCATGCATGATTTTTGCAGTATTTGCAAGAATCTCTCAGTTGAAATAGAATAAGGTACTTTCAGATCTATCTGTAGTCAAAATCCATCGAATTGCAGCCTCATTTCTTTAAAAAAAATTCGTTTTACACAAATATGGAGTACAGTGCTAATCACTGACATGGTATTCCTGGTTAAAAATGACTTCATTAAATAAATATATATTCATTAGTAAATACACAAATAAAAACACGAACAGTAAATATATCTACAGCAAGAAATAAATGAACAAATAAATAACGAGCAATCGGAGATAGCAAACCTCCGCCACAGCTTAACAGTCCCCCCATATATCTATATTATCTATCGATCTAATTTGTAGTCTGGTTTAACGCAGCGGTGATTATCATAAACCCTAGCTCTAGTACTATAGCTCTTCGTTCCGCTGCGCGCTTCCGCCCTGCGGCGGAGCGAAGGTCTATAGTACTAGAGCTACATAAACCCTTACAGAGAGAGAAAGCGAAACGAAGCGAAGCGGTTAGAGAGTAAACCGCTACACTACCATCAATGATGAGAAATCTCTTAAAAAAATTCCCTTGGGTATCCAGATCATCCCACCCAAAATCTAATCGATTGGTTCGTGGCCAAGACCAAACCCGTCCAAAAAAATTCATTCAAATCCGTCCGTATACTTTATAAACGTAAGATCTAACACGACGAACCTTAACTCGAGGTTAGACGTCTTACACGGGCCTTGACTTCGAGTTAAGGTAACCCGAGTTACTGTTAATCTCGAGTTTAGCTTACCTCGCCGTCGATTCGAGTGGTTAGGCTAACTCGAGTTAAGGCCCGGTATGTAGACGCTTAAGTTCGAGTTAAGCTTTAACCTCCAGCGATAGCTGGCCAGCACTAGTTACGATTGTACGTACACACGCGCGCACCGCATCGCTAACCGGTGTTGTCGCTGATAACAGACGTACATAACGCTACTCGAGTTAAGGTTCGTCTGTTGTAGACGCCTACATAAACCTGCTACTCGAGTTTAATAGGCCTTTCGTAAATACGTATAGACGCTTACATAACCGGATAAACTCGAGTTTAAGGTTCGTCGTTAGGATGTAAGACGCCTAATAACGCTAACTCGAGTTAAGGCTATCGTTCGGTAGACGCTAACATAAACGCAACTCAGGAGTAAGGTTTTGTCAGACGTAGACGCCATTACATACGCTTAACTTCGATAGTCTAAGGTTCGTGTTCTGATGTAGACCGCCCTACATAACGCTAACTTCGAGTTAATGGTATTCGTCGATAGTAGACGCCTACATAACGTCTAACTTCGGAGTTATAGCGTTCGTCGTGCTAGACGGCTATCATAACGGCTAACTCGAGGTAGCGGCTTAACTCGAGTTTAGCTGTTAACTCGAAATGGTTAAAGGTTCGTTCTGTGCTTATTTGTAGACGTTATGCTTATGAGTATATCCTGTTGACACACAACCAATCAAGCCAACAAACACAGCATCAACAAACAGGATGCGAAACATCATATATTGTTATCTACAAACACTCCTTATCGGCTATTGTTAATTTGTTTATGCGCATTCGCTTAATGTCAGCTGCGACGGTATTTTACAGTGCAGTCGCATTGCACGATCCGGGGTCTGAAGAAAATGACAACGCGCCCTATAATAATATAGCATATAATATACACAGACAAATGCGTTTAAATAATTCATACTATATTAGAAGCAGCGCGATCGTGTTGCTAGCACGATAGCGTGGCGGTTTTACTGTTATTTCAAAGTCAAATTTAAAGACTTTAGATAAAGAATGTGACATGATAGGACCATCCGGACTCGAAACTTCAAGGGACTATTAGTATGTTCGTCGTTTTAAGATCGCTGTGTTCGCCATTTCTCTCCACAAAGCTGTCTTAAAAGCCATCTAATCGGCACGATAAAATTAAGATACTACCGGGTCAAGACCCGGGTTGGTATCCCGGTCGAATATATCCATCATCGTCACTTTCTGAACCCGATGGAGCGCAATTAACTTCCATCATTTTGCTCGCAACTTTTTAGTCATCTGCGCTCGATATCCCACCATTATTGCTGGCGGATATATGCTAGCTCGATACATAGTCTGGCCTTTCTATATACCGAGCTCAGCCTATATT